CTTACTCCTCCAATTTGACATAAAATCCATTCTAACTGAACTCTTAGCTTTTATTCTTGCTTTTCTTACTTAGCTTTTGTTTTTTGTCCTGGTTTTCATATTTTTATGACTGTTTTGACAGCCATGTTCTCATCTCAACTCATGCCCTCCTCCTGTAGCTGGCTTCCCTGGCTGGGGGCAGTTTTCCACCCATCAGCTCTGAATGTGAGAAAAGAACCAGTGCACACCTTCTGAATTGCCCCCACAGCCTCCCATCTTTTAGGTGTGGTTTGATCCTTCGTTGGCCACATTCCCCGCCATCTTCACATTTTTCTGTGCTTTACAACCTTCTGTGTGAATGGAGGACTCTTGTAAAGACTTTTTTTTAATCATATTTTTTTTTATTTTTCTGCCTAAATTATCAACAACAACAACAAAAATAGTCAAGTAACCCAGTTCACTCAATATTTAAGAAAAGCGTTAGCTCAATGTGTGCAATTAAAAATAAGGGAATATTTCATTGTTTGCTGTCAGTCACTACTGTCAATCACTGTTTGCCTACAGAGATGGTAGAAATTAGGGATTTTTTTCTTTACACTTTTTTCTGTAAAGAACACAGACAAAATGGGTTTAATGGCCGATTAAAGAAGGCTTTGTTCAGTTGTCTGCTTGTACATTAAGGAGGAGCTCCAGAAAGTTCAAGATATTATGCCCACTAAAATTAACCCAAATATAGATTTTTCTGGATATTATTTTATTTATTTGTTTTATTTTTTATTTGTAACACCATCTAAAACTGACAAGAATGTATTTGTTCTCAGTTGATTTTCAAATCACTTGAGAAAATACCAAATATTATACATCTTCCCCATTGATCAAAGGCTGCACTGGTGGTTTGAGAACGAAAGACATCGAGTGAGCACTGCCGCTCCTCTGGGGGAAAGCACTACCCATCTAACAGCGATTTTAAGATGCTGAAGATGCATTACCACAGGCTGCAATTACTCTCTGAATCCCAATTTGAACTGAAGTATCATCTCTCAAGGGCATAATCCTAGGGTCCCATTTCCTTTTCCAGGCAAAGTAAACCATCTCTGACTATTAAGGCCACTGCAGGCAATCTCAGACAATCAAAGATCCTCTTCATGATGAAGTGAATAAAATTATCTTTAAAAATAAGCAACTTGATATTTTCAAAAACAATAACCTACAGTGATAAAAAGAGTAAGTCAGCCACAAATATTCATTAATTGTAATCAAATGTTGAATAAAGATCCCATTTACTAATGGAGATCTTGAAGCATCACCTATGTAGTACTGAATGAAATATTATAGAAATATAGGTATGATCTTTAGAACTTTGAATGAGCTTTTATAAACCAATAGTGGCATGCCTCCATGAAAATTATTACTTTCTGTATTTGTCTTCTTCCAAAATTAATTTCCCAAATGCCTTAGTGCCTTTTTCAATCAAAAAGACCTGAAATGCCCTCTCAGCTTTTTAGTCTTCATCCATGGTCTTCATTCCCTTCAAAGGAGACCACAGGAGACTATGGTCTGTTCAACCACATTATACGGAAAGGTCAAAGAGTATGTATATTAACCACAATCTGCCATTTTGTTGATTTTGTTTTTAAGTCAAATAACAAACTTACAGAAAATTATCTCCTCTATTTAAATTTCCTTTTTTTTTTTTTTTTTTTTTGGTTTCTCTCTCTGCAACTATAACAAACTTTAATCAATTTTGTTAAAGGGAAAAACTAAGCAATAGCTCTCAAAAATAATTTATTAAAAATAATCACCTCTATAAAGGTGATGTAACTGACCTGCATACAGTCAGAATCTTCCATGTCTTCCAATTGTGAATGTTTATTCATTTGGACTCTTCATGTTCCTCCAGCCCCTTGGAACTAAGAGCATTTTCTTAAATGATAACATTGTTTCTCCAGTCCCACAGCTGCTCTCTGAGGTCAAGTGACCATCCTCTCTCATCCTCTCTCACCTGGGTTGCTGCAGCTTTTCTAACTGGCCTTCTGGGCCCTAGTCATACCCCCTCTTCCCACATGGTAATACATTCCTTATGTTACCAAACAAATGGACCCGTGGCGGGGGCGGGGGTGCCCAGATGCTATTACCGAAACAACACCCCCTTCCCCGGGGTCCCTCGGTTGTAGGTCCTTTTGCCCACTGCTCTTGGAATTATGGCTCTAAATGGCAGAGTTTGGTGAAAAGGAATGGAGCTTTATTCAAAAGTTACACAGGTTTGATTAATGGCTAAATGTCACCCTTAAACCTCAAAATCCCTTTAAAACAATCACCAGCACACACACTGTCCTGCCTTCCCTCCCTTTGCCCAGTTAGGCCAGTGAGGGTATCGCCCTTCAGAAGAAAAAGAACAGAAGCCGGGGGCTCTGCTAGGCAGGCCCCCCGTGGTTCTCAGCACCATCCGCTGCGTCACCGCGATCTCCAGCTCTTAATCCATAACCATGTGGCACCTTGTCATGACCCACTAGCAAGAGTCCTTTCTCCCCCTCTTTCTTCCCACGTGGTCTTCACACTGTTTCCCAGAGACTGCGTCCCTTGTTCTCTCCTGCAGGCCCCTGTTTCTCCTCCTCCTCTCCCAGTTACATTCTGTATTAAGTCTTTTAAACCTTCCTGATTAGCTTTGCTGATATGCAAAATAACCTTTTTTGCATATGAGGAATGAAGCTATCCTGTTATTGACATGCAAAATGACTCTCAATGACCCTGCTCAAGGCTCCCATCCCCCACGGCGGCCCGCCCTGGGGTGGGGAGAATATATTTTTCGTGGACACCCCAATCTATGAACCCCGTTACAAATACCCTTTGGGGGGTGGCCCTGGCTGTGCCCCGTTACACTTTCACTTCACTCTTGATGAGAACATCAAAGTCTCTAACCAGTTTATTGAGCCTTTCAAGTACTAGTCCCTACCCACACTGGCAGCCTCATCACTCCTTACTCCCTGCTTATTACAGACCATCACAGGTTCTCCTCCCCTGTAGGTTTGCAGACATTGTGTTTCAGTCTGCCGAACTACCCTTGCCTCTTCTCATTTCTTGGCCAAACCCTTAAACACCCTTGAGGTCTCACCATAATTTTTATTTCCTTCACCATGCTTTTCTAGGCCTCTACTCTGAGAAGCATTAGAGACATGTTTTTCTATCACAGTATTTATCACACTTTATATCATATACTTAACATTCTCTCCTCCACATGGGGGCAAGGCCATATCTGTCTTGCACACCATTTTATAACCAATACACAACTTAATGTTTACAGAGTGAATGACTGATTGATTAGTTGAGTACAAGGATTGATGGAGGGATGGATGGATATTTTTAATGTGTAAAGTTAGGATAGCTACCTGAGCAAAGGTCACATACAAAGGAGCTTGCAGTGTCCTTGCTGGCATCATTATAGTCATTCTCCCTTATGCACAGTTTTGCTTTCCATGGTTCAGTTACCCACTGTCAAGTGTTGTCTGAAAATATTAAATGAAAAATTTCAGAAATAAACAATTCCTAAGTTTTAATTGATGCACCATTCTGAGTATCATGATGAAATGTCTTATAGTCCCTCTTTCTTCCAGCCAGGACATGAGTCATTCATTTGCCCAGCGTTTCCACACTGTATGTGCTACCTGACCACTACTCACTTAGTAGCTGTCTCAGTTATCAGATCAACCGTCATGGCATCACAGCACTTGTGTTCAAGTGACCCTTATTTCACTTAATAATGGTCCCAAAGCACAAGAGTAGCTGGCAATTCAGAAAAGCTAAAGTGCTTGTTATGTATTGTCATAAGGTCAATAGAAGCCTTAACACTCAATCGCAATGCTTCATCTCATCACATAGGCATTTTATTATCTTACACCATTCATTGCAAGAAGAGTGAGGACTGTTATTTTGAGCATGTGCCTGCAAGAGAGAAACCACATTCACATTTTTATTACAGTATATTGTTAAAATTGTTCTATCTTACTATTAGTTATTGTTGTTAACCTCTTACTGTGTCTTATAAATTAAATTTTACTATAGGTATGTTAGGACAAAATATGGCCTATATTGGATTTGTTAATATCTGTAGTTTCAGGCATCCACTGGGGGTCCCTGAACATAGCTCCTATGCATACAAGGGGACTTCTGTATGAAATAATGCTTTAGTACTTTCCAATTAAGAAAGTTATTCATGTCATTGACAATCTAATATAATTCTGGCATCAATATTAATCAATATTTCTATTTATTTTAATAGAATTATTAAAAAGCAGGTAAAAAGCATTTGATGTCTCATTTCATTTATTTAAATAGGTTTTTAATTTCAAGAAATGAAAAGACAAAGCCAGATAGCATTCTTTTAAGATTCCACCCCCATTAGCCATACTAGAATGGCTAAATAACCACATGCTATTCAATATAAAGCAGTTAAATCTATTGTATTTACACAGCCATTTAGCACATGGAAAAAGCAGAGGACAAGTGACCCAAAACCAAGTTATTTTTGCCACGACCTTGTAGATATTTTAATGGTTTTGCACTCTTTAGGCATCAACTGATGACAATTAAACATTTAGATAAATGTTGATTACTTCATTCATATTCATCCCAATCAAAAATGGTTAAAGGGAATATATTGAAATTTTCCAGGTATGAGAAATCATGAGACCAAACCAAAATGTTAATATCCCAAAGTAAATTTAACACACTCTAAGAATAATTTCAAATAAAATATCTAATTATTTTGTCATTCTTGACACAAATTATAAAAAATATGCTCTTTCCAACTGCTTTTGAGAGGTTTCACACATATCTGAATAATTTTTTAGTCCACAAAAATAATTTTATTAACCCAATAACTGAAGACCCAATCTCTTTGCACCCCCAAACCCCTTGAAAGGATGGGGTTAGATAAGGGAGAAACTTGGGAAGAAAATGTCCCCTATTTATCAACATAGAAGACTGAAGGAAGAGGGGCTGCGCGAATAGGTGTGGGGTTATTTTCAGACGAGGGAGGCAGCTGAAGAGGAAGAGGGGATTGGAGAAGGTGAAGGATCTGTTGAAGGCCCAGGGAAAATAACGGGGGCTGGATCTAGAGAGCCAAAGGATGTGGGAAGTGAGAAGTCGGAGCCCAGAAGTGGGGTCCGTTCTGAGGGAGCGTGGTGGACCCTTGGCTCCCCTTCCTCATCACCTGCCTGGCCCGGAGTTTCTCCCTCCTGATGCTCCTTCCCACGACTCCGATGAACAGGCTGCTTGCAGATGGGACAGGTCTTCCGGGTCCGAGTGAGCCAGGGGTCCACACAGCGGCTGTGATAGGCATGAGCACAGGGAAGTACCCTCAGCTTGTCCCCATCCACGTATTCATCCAAGCAGATAGCACAGACATCAGGTTTGTCTCCAGTCTGATAGTCAAGTGTCGGAATCTGCTTCAGCTGCTCTGTGGTCAGTCGATTGCGCTGGAGCTGTTTCTGGTCCTGGATACAACGAACTATCATCATTGTCCCTGCCAAAATCAGCAGTCCTCCAATCCCTGCTAAAGGAATGAGGTAATAGCCCAAGAAGCTGTCGTCTGGGACCAGGAGCACCTGAGCCCCCTTCTGGTAGAGAAAAAGAGCACGCAGGTACGCAGAGCTCCTCTCCCCAGTAAACACAGACGGAATCCAGATCTGCTGCCGGATTGCCGCACTATTCCACATCATGTTCAGCAGTTGATTGGAATTCACATTGTGTACCACAGCGGCATTATACCCGGCCCTCTGAGCATTTAGGACCTTGAGGTCAAAGGTGCAGTCGAATCTTCGCAGCAGGGCAATAAAGGCAGACCCGTTGTCCAGGGCTAGGGGTGGTGGGGCAATTGGGCTGCAGGCATTGGCTGGGTGAGCCTCCACAAGGAACCCCCGAAGTCCTTCCTGCCTGAGGGTGGGCCCAAAGAGAGCTGGGAGGTCTGCAAAGTCCATGCTGGCAGTGTGGTCCAAAGTCGCTCGAATGAGCCCCCAGATGGGAGCTGCTCCCCACAGCACAGCGGCCACAACCACAGGAAACAGGCAGGTTGAAGGGAGCATGTCAGTGCGAGGGAAGGGGCTGAACAGGCTGCTTCCCGGCCACAGGAGCAGAGGCGGAGTTCTGCGCCCTCTCTGCCTCTCCTTCAGGACCCCAGGGGCCGATCACTTTGAGGTGCCACTTCCCAGCTACATAAGGGCACGAGGAAGGAGTCCCAACTTGAGAAGTGAGAGAGCTGATCCGCTTAAGGGGAGCTGCGACTGAGACACTGAAATTACCCTTCTTTTGGTACAGGGATAAAACAGGGAAAGGGAACGGAAGCAAGCACTGGTGACAGGAAAACTTCCGGAAAGGTGAGGAGCTCAGGGAGGCGGGTCTTCCAGCCAGGTGGGCGTCTCTCCACCCCCTGAAAAACGGTTTCCGGTAAAGAAAGTTAGGCCGCTTTCCAGCATTGGACGCTCAAGAGGAAGGACTTCCGGTCCTCTGCTCCTTCACCCGGTCACCGCCACCCAGGCAGTACCTTCAGGTCTCGCGAGAGTGCTCTCACCACGCCGCCCTCGCAGCTGCTGAATTCGTACTGGTCTGTTAAGAAAGACCTCCTGACACAGTCTAGCCTGCCTCAATCGATCTCGTGCCCAAGCAAAACACGGTGAAAATTTTCTAGATTATTAATTTTGAGGTAAACTTTGTAGCAGATGACTCTTTAAGAATGCACATATTTACAAGTGTGAGTCCTTTATTATCCTACCTCCCAAACAAGTATCCGAAATCTGAGATTACTCACAAATAAATGCCGCTATTATGATCAAGAATCATCTGTTCTCAAAGAATTCAACATTTTAATCATTTCGTCCTAGTGACCCAATACAATCTTTTAAACTAATGTGTCTAGTCTACGGCCATACCACCCTGAACGCGCCCGATCTTGTCTAAACTAATGTGTCTATTAACATTTCAAACACAATATGGAGATGGGAACAAAATCTTATTTCTTCATGAGGGCCAGTTAACCTGTCTGGTGTTTGAATGGCAAATTTTTCTAGGTTTTGTTGTAGAATTTAATGCGCATGAGCAAGAAAATAACCAGAATACAAAATTGTGGGAAACATTTTCTTGTGATCCCATTTATAACAAAATAAAAGTATCCATTAGTTCTTAGATTTTATATTTCAAACAGCTTCCCTATTGCTCTCTTAAGTATTATACCTAGAGGTCAAAGCCTAGATTAGAAAAGGAAATTATAGATCACTTTAAATAAATATGTAGCAGATTGGCCAAGTCGGAAATGGAAAGGCTTTATTCTGAGCACACTGCACCAAATTGTCCCTCCAGACTTGGATGGCCAGAATCTCACGTTACAGGATTACCTTGCCATTTTTGTACATTGGTTCTATGTTCCAAAATATTTTTCCATGCTTGTTTTATCTCCATGGTCCTGTATTTTCCAAGTTGGGAGTGTCACAGGTTATTAAGTGCCACTCTACCTGCTTCAACATAATTCCTTTAAGGTTAAGCACAAAACAGTAAACTCTGCAAACACGTACATTTGAAGAACAATGCTAGTCTAAACCACTCCTTCAAGATTTTCAAAGTGGTATGGAGGAGAAGAGCAGTCTCAAATTGACCCTGTCTATGTTAGCTAGTTGCTGACTTCAGCCTGCAATGATTGAAGAACTGGGAAGATTTTTTTAGAGTTGTCAGTGAACTATACTCAGCCACAAACATACACAGACCACCCTCCCCCCATCCCCGGGGTAAGCAGAAGTGGCACTTCCTCTTAACCTCAAGCCAAGGGAAAGTGACTTAAAGAGACTTGTGAAAATTGAAGCCCAGAGTAAAGGGGAGGGGAATGCATTGGTTCAAGCTGCATTTCCACTCCTAGAAAAGTTTTTCAGAGCCCAAATATGGATTTTGCTATGGGGGAGCCTTAAACAGGACACCACGGAGGGTTTATCTGAAAAGGCAAAGGGACACCAAAACAGAAGGGTGAATACTGGAACCTAGGAACAGGGGAGGAGTCACAGGTGGCCAGCCCAGAAAAGATATTGTCCTCATCAAGCAAGCATCCAAGAAGACTCAAGAGAAAACATTGCCGACTAATTCACCAAAGCCCTGTGTAAGAGAAAATGAGTCCATTTGGACTTGTTTACTGTGCTGGCAGGCACCTGCACTGAATTGCTACTGTACCAAGGACCTGTGACACTTCCCTTTGAGATGGACCTTAGACAGGTCCTGAGCAGAGGCTAACCAGAGCAGGAGGGGAAAAAAGATAAGAGAAATCAGCAGAGCACCCCACCCCAGAAACTTTCAAAGCCTGATTTGAACCCGGGGTGGGGGATGAGAGGATATTTAATGAGCCTGGGGTTTATATTAGACTATGCTAAAATTACCCACTTTTCATATTGGACTGAGTACTTTTGTGCTTAAAGTGGTTCAAGTCAAGAATAACGAACCCAGGTTTCTTCAGTTCTGGAGTTTGTCAATTTGGGAACCTTTTCCCAAAAGGAAAAATCATGGTTCCAAATTCAAGAACAGATCCTTGAAGCACCCTGAAACAGCCTCCCAGTTCAGGGGAGCAAGACTGTACTTTCCAACTCTATTGTCCAGTGCAAGAATTTTTTTTAACCAAAAACATAAGCAACCACCTAGAGGCTATAGCCAACTATTTTACATATATTTATAGATATATAAATATATGTTAAATACATATTTTATACATGCATATATTATCTATATAATTTGTTATACATAAATTTTATAGAGATAATATGTATGTATAAATATATATGTATGAATATATAATTTTAAAATAATTGTCTTAAATCAAATATAAATTCATTAGCTAACTTGTTAAACTATTTTCATTTCTAGTTAGATATTCCACATCCAAACCTCAACAGTTGCCAAGGAGGATGGATAATTATCTCAATCCAGAACACTTACAATGGCTATCAGAACTATCTGCCTTTGTTTGCTTGCTGTTCTTCATGAGTTAACATATTTAAGAACCTCCATATCTTTGGCGGTTTCCTAACTCCATCTTTAACTTTCCCTAAAGAATCCAGAGATCTCCTCCCCTCTCTCCTTTCTTGTTTAGTAATGGCCTTGCTCAGAAGACTTTATACAAAGAAGTTTAATGCAGAACAGTAGGGTTCCTGATATAGTATGAGACTATCGGGGGTCCTGGATAAGCCTGCAAATCCATATTGTGTCATCTCAGTGAAAACAATTAGTCAATTCAACAATGAAAATGAGAGTGAAGTTGTTGGTCTAGAAAATGGTGGTTATATAGATTTTTCCCAGTTTTCAAAATCTCATGGTTAGTAACATACCATTATACATTACTTCATTGTAATATAATTATCAATCATTCAGTTTGCAAAACAAATGATTTTTAAGAGTTAAAAAAGAAAAATATTAAATGTGAAGTATTCCATCAGTTCAGCTGCCTTATAAGCTCTACTACCACCTTTCATTGCATCTTCGCCCTTACCCCTTCCTCTCCCACCCCATTCTTTTGGGCAGGGTTCAGCAGTTTCAAGCTTGTAAGGGATGATTTACATTTAGACAATTGTCTAAACCCTGTGTACCACCTCTTCAAGTACCTTGTCATTAGCAGAAGAGCCCCCTCAGATGGACATTGAACCTGTTCACAAAATGGTCCATGGTATATCACATTTCTGGTGACGGTGCTGAAGCAGTGATGGCAAGAGCTTCATATTTCTGCATCGATCATAAAGATTGTATATTTACCTGGCTTGTTTCGTCACTTCTTCAACATTTTTATTCAAAATATTAGCGAGATTCTTCTTAGCGAGAATTTCATAGGCCACCACCTCCTCCAACAGCCTCTGTAAACTACCAATGTTTTGGGCTCTTATTATTTATAACTGCCTTGCATATTATATATTTTACTTATTTTTCTTTTTTATTATCTGTTGCCCCCACTAGAATGAATGGCTGAAGATCATGAAGATAGAAACTGCTTTTCTACTTTATCCACCAATATATCCTCATCATTCTTTGGGAGTTGGTGGAGTAGCCGATTGATGTTTCTCCCTCACATCTCTCTCTATACCCTCTCCCCCCCAACTCTTCCTCACTGTCTAAAATCAAGAAAGAAATATAAAATTATTCTTGTTGCTAAGCTTAATTCTTTTTGGCCTCTGTGTAACCTTAACTAAGATTTCAACTCCTTTACCAGCTTCTGTAAGAAATCCAGTTGCACCCAGAATATGGAATTTGGATAGGATTATTAAAGGTTCACTTCAACGGGATCCCTAGGATTCTACTAAAAAGAAAATTTCACTCAACTGTTTCATTTCCCAAGAACATGTTTTCCATCCCCAGCCATTTGCTGTTCTTTCCAGCCATGCCCTCTGCAACACTGCACCTGCTTCCTGCTCTGTTCCCTCCTTTATTATGACAAGGAGCCCCTTCAACTCTCAGAAACCTGGACATAGAAAGCATAATTTTAGCGAAGTTGATCCCCCTACAATAAATATCTTTAAGATCTGATAAAAATATTTTTTCCATATACTTACACTATAGAATAAGAAAATCAGAAAAATTACTGATTGAAAAAGTAAAAATAAAAACAATAAGCATTAACTTGTCCTAAAATCAACAATGAAATTAGTGACCCCTGTACTTTAATGGTGCATTTTCTGTTATGATGCACCATTAAAGTACAGGGGTACTTTAATGTTCCCCTTTGCTTCTCAGTACCCACTATGTTCGGTTTGCTTCTCAAAAGGGAAGCCCAACTTTATGTATCTGGATGCTGTATTCTTTCTTTTTTTCTTCTATCGCACCTCTTCTTTGGTCTTGGTTGTAAGCATAAGGCCTATGACATAGCACTGATTCCAATGATTGGCTTGCTTATATTTGTAAACCATATAAAGTTCAAAAGCCATCAAAAAGTTAGAATAACATATTTTACTATTAGTAAATAGTGTTTAAAAACTTGGCAATGAAACACACAACATTAGGAATTTATAGGAATGTGTGGTTAGAATTTTAGAACTAATGTAAAATTCACTAAAATGGTATTATTCAAAGA